CGGACCCGGTGGCTTAAAAACACGCCGGGCGCGGGTGCGTGCGTGCCCAAGATCCCGAGAGGAGAATGGAGGAGAAGGGATTGCGGCGTGACCATCCCCTCTTGGGGGGTGATTTCTCGCTTTCTGGCTCTATGTCTCTCTCTGTCTGGCGAGCGCACGCGCCCTATAGCGAAAACCTCTCAAAAAAAAAAAAAAAAAAAAAAAACCGGGTTGGCCACATCAGAGTGACTCGGGTGCTACAAATAAACGGAGGGACTGGGCTCTGGCTGCCCGTGCACCAGCACACAGTAGGACCACTGTGATCACACCGACACAAGGCGACCTGCTCCAGGAGCTCCCAGGAAGGCAGAGCCTTTACCACAGGCAGCAGGTCCTGAGACGCCCAGGCCTCGCCTGCCTCTCCCATCCGAAGGCGACCCTGACTCCCTCGCTGTACACCCAGTCCTTGTCTGCCCGTGAGGACACAGTGTCTCTCAGGGATGGCTTCCCAACTGCCTGATGCCATTTTGTGCTTAGAATGTGAGTTCTTCTGTATTCGGTGACAATTTTCAGCCACTAGGTGCTGCTGCGTGTCAAGCAGCAGTAATGCAAGGCCAGCCCACCTCAACAGCCCACGGTAGGACACGCCTGCGGTCGAGCTGGGAGGCTGGGGCAGGAGGGGCGAACACAGTACTACACACACGCAGACACGTGCACACGTGCCCGACCTTGGAGCACTCCAGATGCCCAGTCGCACTCTCTCAGTGGAGGGCCCAGTCCCAGCTCAGCGACACACTTTGAACTACTGACTTGGAGTCACAACTTCGCTCTCCCACGACTTAAGTCGGGAAGGAGAGCTGCCGGGACCATGTCTACGCAAAGCTAAAAAGCCAGAGGATGACAATGCTCACCCACAAATCATGTTCCACCCAAAGGAGAAATTTCTTCCATTAGCCTAATGACGTGAAGTACTCCTAGATCCACATACAGCACTCAAAGGGGTCTCTGGGTGTCAAAAACACTCCTCAGGTAAAACGATGCCCTAAAGGAATGTATGGAGTGAGCCCACAGGAGGGGGCTTCAAAATTCATGGAAATGCAGATTACTAAAAACTCGGCGTGGGTTTCATACGCTGCACGCTTTCAATCCATTTTCCCAAGAAGTCTCATTCCCACCTGGCCAGCACCAGCGGCTGATCCCCACAGACACACTTATCAAGTCCCCCAGTTTCTACAGATCTGCGCTGAAAACCTTAACCCTTTTACCCAGTCACCCAATCAAAGTCCTGAGAATTCAAAATAACGTAAGGGTTTCAAAATCAAAGTCGTCTTTTTAGCAACAGAGAAGATGAAGATTTTCTAAAGCTCTGTGTGGGGTTTTTTTTGGTTTTTTTTTTTTTAAAGAAAAGGCAGGCAGAGGGGCAGCAGATGGCAAAGCAGTTACATCACTGGATTCTCACATGGCCAACCGAAGTTCAAGTCCCAGAACCAGTGACTTGAAAATCATGCTGGGGGACGAGCTGTGGCATAATGAAGTCACTGGACTCGCACATAGTTGACCATGGTTCAAGTCCCAGACCCAGCAGCTTAAAATTCATGCTGGGCACATGTGCATGTGAGCCCCAAATCCCAAGAGAATGGAGAAGAAGGGATTATGGCATGGTCATCCACCCGGAGGAGTGCTTTCTCACTTCCTCTCTGTGTCTCTGACAAGCGCATGTGCCCTACAGCAAAATATCTCTTGAAGAAGGAAGGAAGGAAGATCACATGGGGCACTTGTGCATACATGTCCAAACTCCAGGGAGGAAAATGGAGAACAAGGAATTGTGGCATGGCTATCCCCCCGGGAGGTGATTTCTCATTTTCCGTCACTGTCTCTGTCTCTCTCTGGCAAGCGCATACACCCTAAGGCAAAAACCTCTTTTAAAAAAAAAAAAAGAAAAGGCATGGAGTCAGAAGTGGCACCGTGGTTGAGGGTGCTGGACTCCCACATAGCCAACCACAGTTCGAGTCCCAGACCTGGTGGCGTGCCCACCCCGTCTCTCTGTATGTCTCTCTCTCTCCCCCTGTCTGGTCAAATTAAAATAAATAAATGAATAAATAAATAAAGTTAAATAGAAGAATTCTTTAAAAAAAAAAAAAAAGGAAAGGAAGACAGAAAGTAAAGGCAGGCAGGATGCAGACGAAGCCCGGATTCAAACTACCAGCTTCTCTTTTAAAGTAGCCGTTTCAAAGGTCTTAGTCCGACCTGGGAGTCAGCATGTGTTTAGAGCAGTTAAACGGACATAATTTGGTCTCTCTCCTTAAGGAACATCTGTGAACGCAGCAATTTAAGACTAGCTGGGGACGAAGTACCTGCTAGGATTGAAAATGGGACTGGCAGGTGGCGTGGTGCTTGGGGGCACTGGACTCCCACACAGCTGACCACGGTTCGAGTCCTAGACCTGGCAGCTTGCTCTCGCTCTCTCGCTCTCTCTCTCTCTCTCTCTCTCTCTCTCTCTGCCTCTCTCTAAGCAAAGTTGAAAAATAGTGATAATAATTCTTTAAGAAAAGAAAGAAAGAAAGAAAGAAAGAAAGAAAGAAAGAAAGAAAGAAAGAGTACCTCGTTAGGTAGAAAGAGTTTGTCCTTGGGATCCCAGAAAGTTACCAGTCTCACCAGCGCTCCAAGCCACGGTCACACCAGAAACGTCTCTTCTCAGCAGCCCTCGCCATCCCGTTACGCTGTCAACTTTGTGTTACATCCAACTATTATATATACTTTGTTCTAGAATCATCTGAGGTATACTAAATTTCTCAAAAATAAGTTACATTTAGAGGTAATGTGCACAATCTTTTTAGGAGTAAATAGTTCTCCAAATTAGTAAACTCGAGAAGAAGAAAAGGCAAACTCCAATGGACCGTAAAACGAACTTGACCGCCATCTTCTCGACTTTCACAGCACTCGGGACTGGCTGGGAATGAGTCGCGACCTGCACGTGGCCTGGCAGTTTGCCACACGTTCAAGATACATCTCAAAGTGGAAAACAGATACGGCACCCCCCAGGCACCGTCCGGCACATGCTCCCCCAAGGAGTACTGGGACACGACCGGTATAATCTGGTCATGAAAATAAAATGGCCAGAGCTAAACTGTAAAAGAGCCCGCCCAGGGTCACGATCGGACGGCCCAGGTTTCACAGGCAAACTGCACGGAGAACCCACACGCCTCGTGTCTTCAGAGAACGCTCGTTCTCCGGCTGCCCCAGGGCCGATGACCATGAAGCAAAAGCAGGATTCAGCTGATGTGAGTCGTGTCATCATCCAGTTACCTGGGCACACACTCACCCACGTGCACAGCTACCTAGACACGCACTCACATACGCAAGGCCACCCAGACACGCACTCCCACACATGCAGACCCAGCACAAGCCCCTCCAGGGCAGGGTTTCCGTCCACGTGGGATGAGTGTGAGCATAGCAGACACTCACGTCTCAACGTGCTATAGCTACACGCTCTCCTGAAGACCTGGCTACTAATAAAGCAAAGGCCACGGGCTCCTGCTTTGAAGAACGCCCGGGGTGGCCATCTTCCCGGCAGAGCACGACGGTTCTGCCCTGAGGTACCACCAGTCCTGAGATTCACCAGGACTGAGAAGCAACACTTGCTAGCCATTTTGCAAGGAGAAGAGAGAAACACCCCTGGCTTTAAAGAGAAAGCTGAAAATTCCATAACTGAAATATAACCTTTCTCTTAAAATAATTATCCAAAGCAAAAAACATAAAAATGTATCAAATTTATAAAACATAAGAAAAACACACAAAAACAAAATAGACCAAGCATCTTTAACTTTTTTTCTCTTTTTCTTTGGGGGGGGTTTTGCTAGAGTGCATGAGCTTGCTGGGGGGAGAGAGAGGCAGGGGTGAGGGGGCAGGGAGAGAGAATGAGAAATCACCCCTTGGGGATGGTCACTCTGCAAGGCCACACCGCAATCCCTTCTCCAGCCTCGACTCCGGTTTTGTACATACACACGGATATGCCCGGCATGCCTACAAGCCACTGGGTCTAGGATTCAAACATGAGGCCAGCCATGTAGGTGCAGCCACCTCCACTCCACACCAACCACTGCCGCCTCCAGTAATCTAAGGATACCACCTGGAAACGATCGGTCCCAATGAACTGTCTCCAAATCCACAGGGTGGGCCGGGCCAGGAAGAGAAATTCTAACTAAATCCATGTAACGTCCTTCTTCTCACTGGCTGGCTATCCTGAGAAAGAAATCTGGGGACAGTGTGTGGGCCATGCTAGGCGTGGGTGCACGTGTTTGTAATCTGTTTACATGTGTTCTGTGTGTGCACACATACCTACATGTGTACGAGTGTGTGCACGTGTGTACATGTATGTGAATCAAATATCTACATTTGTGTGTACATGTACTGTGTTCGGTGTGCCACATGCACACACACGTGTGCGTGTAGAGGTTTGTGTGTGGTATATATGCATGCACACACAAGAGTATACATGACATACATGTACATGTGTGTCACGTGGTGGGACCTGTGTTTGGCAGAGAGGGCACATCTGAGAGGGGATCCACAACCGCATTTTTTTTTGTTCTGGAGAGGTTTTTGCTATAGGGCGCGTGCGCTCGCCAGACAGAGAGACAGAGAGTGAGATATCACCCCCTGGGGGAATAGCGATGCTGCAAGCCTTTCTCCTCCATTCTCCTCTCAGGACCCTGGGCATGCACGCATACATGCCCGGCGTGAGTTTAAGCCACCAGGTCTGGGACTCAAACCCCAGTTGTCTACATGGGAGTCCTGCAACACAGACACTATGCTAACTGCTGGCCCCCCCACAGCTGCATTCTTTGCTGATAAATGACTGCACTAGGACAGCCTGGAGCTCAGAGCCCAGGGTGCTAATGCAGATAGAAGGAGCACCTGCCCGCTCACTGGACACCAGACACCAGGGCGGGACCTCCCGGCACAGGGACCCTGGCCGGCCTGCCTGGGCGGGGATTCCTGCT